TTGGAGAGTCAAAGCTGCTGGGGCTCAGCATAGGGAAACAGACACCTCCACATGCCTAGAGCTCTGTCTGGCAGAGAATAAGTAGAGTTGTTCAGAGAGAGAGTTTCTATGTTGGGGCCCTGGGAGTGTGAGCTTCTTTCCACTAGCTGGAATTTAACTTCTAGTAATAAAGAACTGGCCTAGTTTGCAGGGCCCCCAAACTGCCCCTGGGAGCCACCAGAGGGTGGGATGCAGGCAGCTGCTGCAGTTGATCCAACTACTGCTTGGCTACTGCCCTGCACTTCTGGCTGTTGTGCGGGCATTTGCTGTAGTTCCCACCCTCTTAACCTTCACTCCGCATGTGCACGGCCTTGCCCAGGTAGTTGGGCCATTCCTTTGGGGCCACTTTCCCTGACAATCTCTTCACTTACACCTTTAGCAATATACTCGTACCATTTCGGGAGTGGGACAACGTCTGAACAGCCCACCTGGCAGAGGGCCCCAAAGGGCCAAATCTGCCAGCCTTGGCCTTGAGGCTCTGTTCACACCCCTCTGGGAAAAAGACAAATACTCAAGATTCTGAGCCCCCCAACCCCAAGACAGCTGAGTCTCAGAGCTACCTTTTATGATACCTGACCAGCACCAGACTTGTCTAGGCCAAATCTGCCAGCCTTGGCCTTGAGGCTCTGTTCACGCCCCTCTGGGAAAAAGACAAACACTCAAGATTCTGAGCCCCCCACCCCCAAGACAGCTGAGTCTCAGAGCTACCTTTTATGATACCTGACCAGCACCAGACTTGTCTTCTGAGACATCAGCTTGGGGCAGAGTGGTGGGCCTGCGGGTGCACCAGGAGGTGGCAGTGGTGGGCAACCTGGTCTCTGGGTCTTTGTAATGCCAAAACGAAAAGCAGGAGAGGGTGAAGACTATAATCGTTTCTGCTTCTATTGTTGGTTAAAGCCAGCCAGCCAGCATGGGTGCACCAGGAGGTGGCAGTGGTGGGCAACCTGGTCTCTGGGTCTTTGTAATGCCAAAACGAAAAGCGGGAGAGGGTGAAGACTATAATCGTTTCTGCTTCTATTGTTGGTTAAAGCCAGCCAGCCAGCAGATGTGGGGCTCTTTATTCCAGCAGCCTTGGTTGCAGGGAACAACTGCCCAAACAAGCCCAAACTTGGAGAGAGGTCTCTGGTTTCTAAGAAGCAGGCTTACCAGGCTGCAAGTCCCTACATCTCCAAAGTATCTCACTCTCCACGCCAAATAGGAAGAAATGGCCTTTGTGTAGCCAAACTGATCTTAACAGTGTGCCTTCAGGGACGGACCCACGTTCATACTGCGTGAGGGCCATCCAAATGCAGTCTCCACGGCTAGCACGTGGTTGCCAGGCTGGCTGCAGCAGGAATAATGTCCACCTTGGCAGACTAGACAGCTACGAGTCCCAGACAGCCAGGATGGAACTCGGGAGTGGGCAGTAAGAGGAAGGACTGCTCCCTGCACCACTGCGACAGGGGAGGCAGAGATTCCAGCTCACTGCACAGCCCAGGAAAAATGGATTCCAGCACACTGGGCTCTGGCCCTTCCTGTCTCCAGCCAGCTCCTTCACTGCCTCCCTCTCAGCAGGGCTGACAACCTCAAGTTTTGCAGCTCCTTTCCCACCAAGCACAGTGTTCACTTAGAAGCTCCAAAGTCAGGCTAACAGCAGCTCTCCAAGCCCTTGGGGGTGACCCTGAGGTTCCATAAGCTGTTGGAGAAACAAGGATGTTGGTCCCTGACTGGCTGGGTTGACCAGACTCGTCCCCAGCAGCCAGGTCTCTCCAAACCCCAATTTGGTGCCTTTGTGTTTACTTCAATTCCTCAGTCAGAATCTGCAAACTCCTTCACTCCCTGCCACCACTTTGGCTTTTTGCTGTGCTGCTTGTTTTTCCTAGTGCTCATGACCCCCAGTGGTTCTTGCCCAGAAGAACATGTGTGCCCATATGCAGGCACCAGAGCCTCTGCTGGAGAGCTGCACCAGATGCTCAGAGTTGGCCATCTTATGTATACCAATAAATAAAAGTAGTACTTTCCATATCAAAAAAAATATTTATATATAAACACACACACGCACACACACACAAATTGAAATAAAGTAGTTTTTTGGGCCAAGAGATCATAGGAAAGTGAACCCACAAGGAAAAAGGAGAGAGAGGGTGAGAGCAATGCCGACTCCTGGCCGCTCACAAGGGCTACACCCTAACCCCTGTTCAGGCTCTGCTCAAGGCTTGCTCTCTCTCTAAAGTTGCAAGAATAACCAAGGAAAAGACACGCTGTAGTGAGCTGAATAGTGCCCCCCCCGCAAATTCAATTCTACCCAGAACCTCAGAATGTGATCTTATTTGGAAATAGGGTCTTTGCAGGTATAATTAGTTAAGCGGAGGTCATACTAGATTGGGATAAGTCCTCAATCCAATGACTGTTATCCTCATAAAAAAACAGAAAGACACAAAGATATAAACAGGAAAGAAGGCCATGCAACAATGGAGGCAGAAACTAAAGTGATGCAGCTACAAGCCAAGGAATGCCAATGATTTCCAGAAGTCACTGGGAGCTAGAAAGAGGCAAGGAAGGATCCTTTCCAAGAAGTAGCATGACCCAGCTACTTCTACCTGATTAGACTTCTAGCCTCCAGAACTGTGACAGAATAAATTTCTGTTGGGTTAAGCTACCAAGTTTGTTGTAATTTGTTACAGCAGTCCTAGGAAACTAATTCACACCTGTAGTGCTATGGGTAATGTCGGAATCCTGCCGATGTCACCAATTGTAGCGTTCTTAATCCTGTTCATGATGCCAATTGTGGAGCTCTTTTACCTGCCCGTAATCCTGCTGACTGGGCCAACTGTAGTGCTATGGCTCTGTCAGAATCCTGCCAGTGTCGCCAATTGTCGAGCTAGGGCTGGGTCTGGTACTCACAGACCCCTCAAGCCCGTTCACAGAGTGGGTCACAAACCCTTCACATGCCAGGCTGGGTCCCCAGACCCGTCACACACCAGGCTGGGTCACCAGACCTCTTACACACAGGTCTATGAGCTAGGCAACCAGCAAACAGGTCCTTGGAAGCCATAGGTTGGAAAGTATGGCTGTATGCGGCAGTGACCATGAGGCAGTAAACTCCAGCCAAGGTGGTGGTGCTGTGCAGGTGCACTAACTCCACCCACACAACCTATTCACAGCAAATGCTCGGCAACATTCTGAACATCTGAGGGGCCCTGATCATTTTCCTATATTTTCCCAACAATACCTTATGTCAATTTATCCATTATCATCTCTCAAGACTTCACCACTTACATAACTAATCACAAGGTAATAAACAGAGGCCCATGGAACAATGCTTGCACTACGGCACCCCAAATGAAGAGCTTTCTACCGCCCATCCAGCAACCCTATGTTAAGCCCATGAATACAAAAAGTAACTGCTCCAGTGTTGAGCACCCCTTCCTCCATGGGTTGAAGGGGCATTAACTAAGTTGTACCTCATCCTTCTTCTCCTGAATGCGCCGTCTCTCTGCCTCAATAGCCAGCTTCTCCTGAATTTCCTGAGCAATTTCACAGTCTTGCTGTTCACTAAAAAAAAAAAAAGGTGAAAACATGAAAAGAAAATAAGGAATATTTTTTTTTCCTAAAAATAAACACAAATTATTGAGTACTCATTATGAGCATACTTATTTTTATCTCAATTCATAGGATAATGATGCAAAGAGGTTGATACCGTCAAATTTTACAGAAGAGAAAATTGAGGCTCAGAAAAGTTAAATCACTTCCCCAAGATCATAAAGAAAATACATGGTAGAACTGGAACCTGACCCCAGACATTACAATGGAAAGCTCCATTCAGTGCTTCTTCTATACTACCACATCACTTCACCCTACTGGGGCTGCTCTACAGAAAGACAAGCACATTTTCTCACGATTCTGCAAAGGTGATGTAGACTACAAGATAAATATCCACAAATATCCAAATAGAGAGTGCAAAGGGCTGGCCGGTTAGCTCAGTTGGTTAGAGCAAAGCCTTATAACACCAGGGTCATGGGTTCAGATCCACTGTCCAGCTACAAAAAAAGCAAAAAAACAAAAACAAAAGAGGATGCAAAGAAAAGGTTTGGGAACGAGCTCACTAAAATGTCAATAATACTGTGGTGACCTAGAGGTGGTGGTATGATCTTGAAATAATTTTTACAAATGTTTTAATTATCTACATATTTTTTTTTTCAGTTTCAACAATGAACACTAAAAAATTATGCTTTAAAGGGGGAAAAAACAGTGTATATTCCCTAACTTCGGTTCCCAGTACAGGCCTTTCTGGCGGAGGCCAGTTTTCCTAACATTCTGGCCACGAAGAAAATCAGATGCTACAATACTGCTACTAACATAGTATTTTTTTGCTTGTTTGTTTGTTTGGTTTTGGCATTTGTGGACTAAACAAAAATGTAAACAACACCTACTATGGGCCAGGTACTATGTCCAACACATTAAATTTACAAAAATGAGTACATTTTCATCTTGCCCTCAGAAACTCACAATACATTCTGGTGGAAGAAACAAGACAAATCATTTTTATAAGAAAAAGAGAACTGTTTTACACCAGTTCTCACAGAACATGGAATTTGGTTCTTTCAGAAATGGCTACAGAATTTGCCCCTAGGTACACAAGCCTCGTTAGGGTTTCAATAAAAATCAATGGGCAGCTTACAACTCAGAATGTGATAGCCCTGAAGAACCAATCTTTTACACAAACCTGGTAAGTAGGAAAGATAAAGAAAAACACACTTAGAGCTGGCTATCTGAAAAGACTCAAGAATAAAATTTCAATTGTGATTTATATATGCAGTTCATCTGCTAAACAAATATATCCCCTCATCCTCACCTGCCAATTGAACTTAAATTCTCAATGAGTCTCAGTCTTAGTTGTATATTCCAACCAAGACACATTAATGGAAGTTTGTAATTAAAGAGTTAGGGGCTGGGAGAGAAGAATATCCTAACTTCTCTGCAGGAAATGAAACCCAAGTATTCTATTCTAACAAAAGTAAGGGGATAAAAATTGTTTTCATTTGTATAAGAAAATAGTCATTTTGAACATGTTTGGAAACAGGTAGATGTAGGTGGAAGTAGACAAGTGTGCACATACAAGGCAGAAAGAGAACCAGAGAACACCAGACAGAAACCACAGCCAGAAATAGCAAAACTTTTTTTAGAATCAGTAGGAAAATCACTGGACAAGTAGTCTGTGGACCTGATTTCTGGTCCTGTCTCTACCACTGTTTACCATGAATCATGCTCTCCTATGCCATTTTATCAGCTATGAAAAAGTTTGGCTTAATTACTTCATATTACAGGTCTAATATTCTAGGAATCTTATCCACTCAAGCCAAAGAAATGAAAATAAACATAAATCTACTCAGAGCTATTTCTATTTCCTCTTTTCATTCACTCACTTAAAATAATTAATCAAACACAAAATCATGGTCTCTGTTTTCAAAAACTTCTCTACTTGGACCTCCCAAATTAATGTAAAATCCGTACAGGAGTAAGCAACTACTGACTACATGCAAAGTGATCATATATGGGAAGAGAGCAGAGCAGAGAAGGCAAATCCAACTGAAGTGTTAAACGTCACAAGTAACACACAGATGTATCTCCTGTTACAGAAAATAAAGCAGTGAAGTTTCAGCTGATCTTAATTATTTCAAACCATGTTTCCAAGAAGGACCATCTCTGGTTCAGTCAGCTAATTAAACAGAATCCTGAGGAAACAAAACTGAGAAAGAAGTAGTAAACAATCCATAAACCTCACTTTGGACAGCAGCCTAAGGACCCAGACTAAGTGAAAGGTTCCAGTTCATTAAAATCTGTAGCATTTCATCCTTCCCATTAGCTAATTAAACAGAATCCTGAGGAAACAAAACTGAGAAAGAAGTAGTAAACAATCCATAAACCTCACTTTGGACAGCAGCCTCAGGACCCAGACTAAGTGAAAGGTTCCAGTTCATTAAAATCTGTAGCATTTCATCCTTCCCATAATGTCCAGCTGTCAAGATTGCAAGGGAGTGAAAACTCAAAGACTTCCTTTCTACCTTACTTATTTCAGCCAGGAAGACTTCCAAAACCTTGGAGTCCCAGGCAGAAAGGTGACACCTGGTTCTTCTCTTATTTATAGGACCTCTTCTCTTATTATAGGACTTATAATCTATCATTCTCCAATTCCTGATTTATATTTTGCAATGATTTGTGTTGATAATCTCTGAATAACTTCATTATATTCACTGTCATTACCCTAATTCAAGATCTTAAACTTCTGTATCAATCTGAGAACGGGATTTCCTAACAGAATTGTAAATAATGTAAAGGGCAATAATTTAGAACTCTGAACACTATTGTTTTGGTTCTCACCATTTAATTTCATCTGTGGAAATCAGACTTAGAATATCCCAAATCTATCTCTTCCTCTTTATATCTCCATTACCATTATCCTCAGTTCAGGCCTTATCATCTTCTACTTCTCTATATCTCTATCACTACTGTCCTCCATTCAAGCCTCCTCATCTCTTAATTTGACCATTGCTCAACAGCTGCCTTTAATCTTACCTACCCCCTGCAAGTCTTTACCTACCGAGTCCCCAGAGTAGATCCCGAAACAAAAATCTAAAACTCCTTCAATGATTCTCTATTTCTTATAATACAAAATCTATAAAACCTAAGTTCCTTAATGTAATTTATGTGACCATTTTGGTCCAGCTTTTGACTACTTTTCTGGCCTCATCTTTTTATGCCCTAATCATATTCTCCACTCTAACAGTACTGAACTTCTTGCAGCTACCATGATTTTCCAGGTCCTTTCACCTCCTGCCCTTATATGCATGTTACTCATTCTGTCTAGAATGGTTTTCCCAAATTATCACTATAAACTCCTAATTAACTATCAAGGTTCAGATTAAATGTACCACCTGTCTTGTGAAGCTATTCCCAGTCTCCTCTCTCTTCACAGGTATGAAATTTATAATTAAATTCCCTGTGATCCATACATGTATCTGTGAATATATAATGCTCAGGGTGTTTTCCTGAGGCCCTTAATGGCAATGGCTATGTCTTGTTCATATCTGTAGTGTCCAGTGCCTTTCATGGTGCCAGATTTAGCAAGTCAATAAAAATATTTATTTACAAAATAAGTAAGCTTAACAAAATGATGAATAAAATCTCTACAAATAACAAACAGAAAGACAAACCCCTTCTTAGAGGCAGCAAAAATGATAGGCTTTCCTGTTTTATTTGAACATGACACTAAAATAAATCAAGGGGTTTTTTCACTTCTCCCTTTATCCACTTCTCCTGAACACAATATCTTATGGCTGAATCTTCCATTAGAGATTGAGGTTGTAAGAGCCATTCTCAGAAAAGGAATGTACCCTGTGAGGCTTTAAAACACTGAAGAAAAGTAAAAAGTCACTGTGCCAGAAGAGACCTAGAAATGATCATTTCCATTTAGCAATCTATTAAAGGAGAAGAACAAGAGAGAACTTTTGTCAGACAATGAAAGTTTGAATATAACTGAGTGCACAATTCAGAGCTTTCTAGCACATTCTGCCATTTCTTGAAAAGTGAGGAGCTAAAGGAAAGTAAGAGCTGCAAACACAGCTAGGAAATAGTAAAGGAACCCAATACAAGAGTTCTTTGAGGTCCATTATTTAACTGGATTCCCCAACAAACTATGAGGCAGAGGGGACAGATTATTTTTTCCATGTACGGGTAAGAAAAATAAATTCAGAGAGGTCAACCAGCTGGCTCAAAGTCATACAACTAGAAGTGTTACAGTTCACACCAGTTAAGTCCCAGAACTAGTCAAGTGTTCCAACAATAACGAAAAATTTTTAAATCAAAGAAAAAAGCTGCTGTAATCTACCAGTGAAAGGAATCACAAGGACAGGAGTCTCCTTCTCCCCTGCCCTGGTTGCTGGCTCCACAGAGAAAACCAGTCCTGACATTACTCCCTCCCACTCCCCAAATCCTCACAGGTCTTTGTAGCGTTTCTGTAGCTGAGCCTGGGCTTTCAGATCTTCCTCTTGGAGCTGCTTAGCCACCTGGAGATCATGCTGGACCAAACGGTTCCGCTGAACATTCGATGCCAAATGATGCTCAACTGGGACAGAAAGGTTGAGGAAGAGAATTACAATGTTTTGGCTTGTTAGTAATAAACCTCCTAACAAACTGAAGAGCATTACCACTAAAAAGAGCTTCATATCCATCACTTCATTTTATGCTCTCAACAACTCTATATAATAGGCAGCACGGGAATTATTATTCCCATTTTTGCATTAAGTAAAAAGAGAATTAAAAAATTAAATAATTTGCCTTTAATCATCTGGCAAAAAAGTAGCAGTGCCAGGACTTCTATGCAAATATTCTAAAGCCAGGGACGGTGTTGCCACTCTATTTATTAAATGCAGTTTTCAATAACTGATTTTTATATTAACACATGAATTAATAATTCACCAATTACATGTTCACAAACATGTACTTTTATATAACACACATAACTTAGATTTACTTTCCATCAGTTCACTGCATAAATATTCAGAAAAATACACGATGTGGCCTAATCTAGATCCCACCATTGCCTAGAAAAGATGTTCAGGTCCCTATTCTAGGTGCAGAAATAGACTGCTAAGGAAGCCTTCTACTCATCCTAGATACATCTACAACCCACAACACTAAGGCAAGGGAAAAGTTTCAAGTCCTTCTTTTCCTCTTATTTGTCCATTAGTTTTCCAATCCCTGACAGCCTGTGTTACTTCAAAACACCTTAAACTTCATTCTCTACCCTGGCATCATTTGCCTAGACAAATCCTTCAGGATGGATAGATAGTGTAAGCAGGTTACTATGTTCTCTCCCTACCTCACCCTAAGAAACCAGCTTCAAGCTACTGTTAAAAAAAAAAAAAAAATGAAAGAGCAGGAGTCTGGGCCATTACTCACTCTCTTGTTCCTGCAGGCTATGAGCCAGGGTGTGGTCCTCCAGGACAGCAAAATCTCGGCACACTGCAGAGCATGAGGAAGGAAGAACAGACAGGAAGGCTCATTAGTTAGTAGTACTTAAGAATAAAAAGAAATGGATTTTCCTTACTTCAAAAAATCAATTCTAATATTTCAGGATGATCAACTTTATAACTCACAATGCATAAAGTAGTGACTAGTTAAGTATGACGTCTTTGTTCATAAAAATCCATAATGCCTGCTCAGTGTAAGCAAAGGGTGTCACAAAATAATCATCCTTGGCCTGAGGTGAGAATTTTAACCACAGAATCAAAACCCAAAGGGCCAGAAATTCCAATCCACTTCTATAAGGGGAGGGCAAATACTGCTGAAATAACAGAAGAGTCAACAATGCTTTGCATATTGCTGCTGAGTGAGAGCTGAGTTCATGCAGGTACAGTCAGAGGAGTTAAAAGAAATCTAGCCTATGCCTCAGCCATCTGTGGTTCAGGGGCTTCTCTCCCAGAGATTTACTTTTATCCTGGTGTCCTTAAGGAAAAGCACAACTACATTAGTTCCTCCCGTAGGAGTAGATCTCTACTTTAAGAATAATCACATTCTTTAATGTGTCCACCCCCTGGGACAGGAGTTGGAATTAGGCCTTTAGGTCTCTCTAAACCTAAAGCTGCCCCCAAATAATCTACAAACCAAAAGAAAATGGGAAACCTGGAGGAAACCAGGACTGTACTCCTAACTTTGCCTCCACCTGGAGACCTAAAGGAGAGCATTTGCTGACCTGTTTTCTTAGAAGCAAAATAGGTAGAGATGGTCTCCGAGCTCCACTTGTTGGGAAAATAGAATACTTTAATCAGGCCCCCTCACCTGCCATCTGGTTGGAGGTGGTGCGGCACATTCTTTGTAAACGAGTTGTGTGTGGGTGGAGTTAGTGCGCATGCACGGTACTGCCAAGGCCTGGCTGGCGTTGAGTTCCTCAGGCAGCTGCCCCATGCGACCATGCTCTCAAACCTACAGCTTCCAAGGATCTGTTTGCTGGTTATCTAGCTCATAGACCTGTGTGTAAGGGGTCTGGCGACCCAGCCTGGTGTGTGAAGGGTTTGTGACCCAGTCTGGACAATGGGTTTGAGGGGTCTGTGAGCACCAGACCCAGCCCTAGGCCCTACAATTGGCCCAGTCAGCAGGATTATGGGCAAGTAAAAGAGCCCGACACCACGTTACCCCAAACTGCAATTTAAAGTACTTTTTTAAAACACAGCAACAAAACAAAATATGAAGACCTCATCATGAAAACTGCTGTTTTAAGGACATATAATTTAAGTGAAATATTTTCACTTTATTCCAAACATGTAACTCATGTTAAAAAAGAAAAATTCTCAAAATCCTCAGACTGCAATGTGTGGGACTCATGAAACTGCTCCCCAGGGCTTATTAGAGGTTACAGACTTCTTTCTGCACCTTTGGATTTGCCTACAAGGACATTTAACTGAAACAAAATGAAGACACTCCCTTGCCACTCTCTGCACTTACGTATGAGGGTACCTCAAAAATTTCATGAAAAGATTCATATTATCTTTCAATTCTATATTTGCACAAACTTTTTGAGTACCTTGTGCATTCACATAGTCCTGTCCCTCACTGAAAAATAATGCAGCAAAAAAGTAGGGAGATCTGGGGATATCAAGATTACTTTGAAACGGTTTTATGATGGAGGAATCATTCCTGCCCAAGAACCATATTAAACTGAATATGACCTGCTTACCCCTTGCTCAAATGCAACTGCAAAACCAGTAATACCAATAGAAGCCCTGTTCTTTTTCATCAGATATATTCTCAGTAAATTTTAACAACTTGAGACATAGGTCCAAGTCACCCTATATTTCACAGAATGAAAGTGCTTTAAAGATGAGCTGGTTAACACCCTTGTTTAATAAGTAAGGAAACTGAGGGCCAGAAGAAAGAAAGGCCTTATTAAGGCTATATATAGTTCATTGCTGATAGGGCTGGGGGTCAATGTCTGACCTGGCAAGATCTCTTTCCTTCCCTGACTCTGTGACAGCCCTCCTTGACTTGAGGTAAATCATGGTCAGAACAGACTGAAGATATTTTATATTGACCAACATAAACTCTCCAAAACACTTCAATTAGTTAATACTTAATTTTAAGTAGATAAGACATCCACAAATTCACGAATATTCAGTTATTGTGATTTGGCTCTAAATCTTCTTACCCACAAGTTATGAGCAGGGCCTGAACTAGAAGAAGATCTAGGATCTTCAATGACTATAAGGAAGTACACATACATACACAAATATTCAGAATGAATTAGACAAAATGAATATAATAAAATCTTGTGTAAAAGAATGCTATTTTAATACATTGCCTTATTATTTGAAATATCTTTATTATATCAGAAAAACTTACATTTGTATATTAAAGTCAGTATTAATTTTAGATTAATTATAACTAGATCAATTTTTAAAATTAGTCTTAGGCTAATTTTAAATGTTTTTCAATCATGGGTGTCAACCTTTTATTAGGTCATAAAATCAATTACTAAGTCTGAGACAAGCATTTTAAAAATGAATAGGCTAGAAAATAAGAGTATATAGCATACAGTACAGGAGACTACAGTTTGGAAAAACTATTTCCCAGTATTACATATATATACACTACATAAATACACACACATGTAAATGATAAGTACTAGGTCACAATGTAAAACATATATCACTCCACAGATTACAGTCAAAAAAGTTTAAAAGCCACTTCAATTTATGTTATTAGGTCACAAAGTTATGTCAAAAATATATATGTTTTTAATGTCATGCTGATTAAAGAATTATAAAATCATTACAGTTTTCCATGTGGGAAATCAAATAAAGAACTGTAATCATTTATATGTTTTTAATTATAGTCATCACAACATTAAAAACAGAAAATATATTGTTTATGGACAGATATACCTGCAGTAAAAATATTTTAATATATGGCACTGACACAAACAATTCAGAATAATGGTTATCACTACAGAGAAAGAAAAGGAATATGAGTATTTTAGCTGTAGATTCTGTTCTACTGCTTTAAAAACAAAAAGGAGACTGAAGCAATTAAGGCAAAATTAACATCTATTTAATTCAGGTGGTAGATTCCTGGGTTTCTGTATTTCCTGTACTTTTTGAAATGTTTTATATTGTTTTAAATTCCCTAATTAAATATAAAATTTTAAAATCTACTTCTTTCATTTCATCAAGAGCATATATTGCTAAATCACAAACATAAAGACAAGTCTGACATATGATAATAGATATGAGAATTTATGAGTTATTAAGTATCTTAACAACAACTCTTCTTAACGATTTCTTAATATCCAAACAGCAAAACTGAAGAATATTCAGTTATTATGATTTGGCTCTGAATCTTCTTACCCACAAGTTATGAGCAGGGCCTGAACTAGAATAGGATCTAGATCTTCAATGACTGTAAGTACACATACACAGAGTCTTATTGTCAAATACTGTACACTGATTTAGCACTTCAGAGTTTACTAACAGCTTCCAAATACATAATCTCACTTATACTGAAATATTGCTTGCCCAATCTACAATTTCTTCTGTTACTACTCTAGTTTCTTTCAAGATCTACCTCTATGTACCCTGCATCACTTCTCTAATACAAGCTGAAAGAGTCACCAATCCAATCGAATTTGTAAATGAGTAACAAGACTGGGAATTACAGAAAATATTTCTCTTTCAAGATCTACCTCTATGTACCCTGCATCACTTCTCTAATACAAGCTGAAAAAGTCACCAATCCAATCGAATTTGTAAATGAGTAACAAGACTGGGAATTACAGAAAATATTTCACAGCCAGGCCAAGTTCAGAGCCTGGATGAAACTTTGCTCCTTCTCCAACCTACTCTACTACTTTGACGTAAATATAAACAGCATAAACTCATCTCTGTGGGTGATGGGTTTACCTGTGTACCTGTGTACCTGTGGGTACACAGGTAAACCACTGGAACCTGAGCTTTCCTCCTCCTCCTACTCAAACTTTTCCCCTCACATGTTCACTCTCACTCACCACGAACTCAGGCTGATCATCTTGCCATAGGCCAACTCCACCATTATCTTCTGCTCTTCCTAGCCTGCTACTAAAATGAGCTTCCTCCCCATGATAAATTCCACAACTATCCCCCTTCATTCCCACCCAGACCTCAGTGGTCCTGTAGCGTCTCCCTTCTGCTCCAGACATTTCCCCAAAGCCAGTGCATGGTAGCTAAGTCTCTTCTGAACACTAAAAACCATGCAACTCTGCCTCCTGGTTTAGAAGAGCATCAATAGAAAGAAATGCAATTTGCCCTTCAACTGGAACACACAGCTGTCTCTCCATCAAGTTGCCCACTCTTCAGGGCAAGGACTTTGTGGGGGTAATTTCTGCACCTCCCACACAATTAGCACTGGATGTAGCATATAAGCTCTACTGTCATGACACTATCACAGAATCAGACTTTTAAAATCTGTCAAACATCCTTTAATTATTAATTTATTAAAAATAAATAAATTACATAAGAACCAGAACCCTCTACCATTCCCACTAAAAGAAAGTTTTAATGATTTTTTAATCCAAATATGTACAAACACTGTATAAGTATATAATGAATAAGTTTACATTAAGCCGAGTCTGAGAATACATATATAAATGTATGTCAATCACTCTCAATATCTCCCAACCATTTTTCCTTGAAGAAGGAATTATTACAATTCAGTTGTAGATTCTCTCTAAATAAACAAATAACAGAGTATGCACCTAATATATGCTCGTTTATTCAGTAAACATGTGCTGAGCTCTATTTCAGGATGAATAAGTCATTTCCAAGCATCAAAGAGGTGGAGATGACAGAAAGGTAAATATGTATAATTTGATAAGTGTTATAGTAAAGACCCATGGTAAATTCTTTGAAGGGATAAACATTGGTGCAGTTATGTTTGTTATGAATTGGGGGAAGAGGTAGGGAATGAGGGTGACTTGAGCAGAGTGCATCAGGAAA